CACACCCACAGCAGTAAAGGTGGTAGAGATAATTAGATTCATCTCCTAGATTACAGCCAGTCCCATCGGAAATGTCTGAAGAAAGAGATCACCAAAAGGAGAAAGCTGCTACTGTAAGCTTCTGGAATAGTTGAGATTGTTCCTCAAAAAATAAGCTTTCCATGCTACCACAGATAAGTAAACAGGATCTTGCTAATGCCAGGGCTCTACAGATCACACATATATTCTCTACAGGAAGTTTGGAAATCCATCCTATTCCTCATATTTGTGGTAACAGTTAAATTTCTCTCCCAGCAAACAAGCACCTTGAGGGTCACTAATTCTTATCTCATTGCTTGCTTTCTTTCCTTTTCTTTTCTTTTTTTTTCAGAATAGGGGATTAAACTCAGGCCCTTGCGCTTGCCAGGAAAGCTTATTCTACTGAGCCATCTCCCTCGCTCCTTGCTGCTTTCTGACAGGTTTTTTTTTCCTTTCTTTAACCTAGTCAGCAAGCCATATCACCCCAAGATAGTTGGAGAGCGCACAATACCTAATAGATAGCATCTACAGCCCCTCCCAGCTACAAGAAGTTGTAGAAAACAGACACTACCACTCCTTCAGCACCCCATAAAGAGTTATGGGATTTATGTCTTTCAGAGGAAAATGATAGGGAACAACCATGGCTTAACCTGTCTAGGAAAGAGGCATCCAGTATCCCAGGATCCACACAACTCTGCCTCTCAGGACCCCACATGTAAAACTCGCAGATTCCTATGAGGTGTGGATTGCAGAGGAGATCAGATGCCACAAGGAGCCTGCTATGTGACTCTTGGACCCTGTACTTTTATTTTTGTTCTCCTTTCCTCTTTGGTTCAGCCCAAGGATGCTCTATGGAGCAAGTTTCTCCCTTATACCTTCACTCTTCAGTTTTCAAATAAATTTTGGTACCATCTTTGGCTTGTCTCATCAAATTCTTTGTTCAAGGCAAAACAAAAGGACCTAGAACATATTTAATCAGCAATCAATTTCTAAATAATAGTACCATCACTCCAGTCTCTGCCTTCATTTTCATGGGGTTGTTTTTTTCATCTGTATCTGGATTTCCCTTTTCTTTTAATAACATGGTTCTACTGTATTGAGGGGCTACTCTGATAAGGTCATTTTAATTTGTTTGTACCTGCAAAGTCCTTATTACCAAATAATGTCACTTTCACAGGTATTGGGAATAAGAGCTTCAACATATCATTATGGAGGTCACAATTTAACCTATAACAAAGACTATCCAAATTTTCCCAAAGTAGATGGGCAACACTCTACATCTAAGGTGTGTCTTTTTCCCTAGATTGTAGTATTTCTGAATAAATACATGTCTTGTACTTCACTTTAGTTGATACACTGTTCTTTTCCTCTTGAAAATCTGTCATCAAATAGATGGTTAACTTAGTATCTTAGAACTGTGCAAACACTTTCTGTGTAAGTTGTTCTATAATAAGACAAAAAAAAACCTTCAGTGTGTCAATGCTTGGAGAGAATCTTGTAGGAAAAAGAGGGTGTGGGTGCCCCCAGATAATGCCTACAGCCACCAGAAACAGGAAGCAAAGGTCATTGTTCCAGCAGGCCTGGGAATACCTGTTCATTTCACAGGACTCCCTCAGCACCTATTGTTCAGCAAGTTTCTCGAGATGTCCCCTGAGATGAGTCTTCAGGGCTTAGAGACATAACACACAGCACCCATGACTGTGTGTGAGTTACGTGAAACAGAGCAAGCTTTTCAAGGGGGTGGAGAAAAAAATTAATTTTGGAGATTATAGAATCTGAGTATAGGTAAAGTGGCAATTGTGGACAATGTACCTGTATTAAAATGCCTGTATGCTTGTGTTTACACACAGACTCTAGCATGGCTTTAAGTCCTGTATTATTATAGGGTTAAGTTCAGAGAAAACAATTTAATGATGAGCTCACATGGCCTAGATTGGAAGACCTGTCTGATATGAGGATGATTCAGAGACCCCAGAGATAATTTCCATCTGCTGTTTGGGAGCTGTTCAGGCCTGCAGCTACAATGTGGGACTCAGTAAAATGCCCCTGGCAACGTGACTACCACTAAGCAAGTGCAGCTCCGTCTGGATGAAAATGTCTGACTCTGGGAAGATGAGGATGCTTGCAGACGTTTGCCTCCCAAAAGGGCCACCCGCCTCCACTTGCTGACTTCTGTCTCTTTACAAGTATTCTCCCTCAGCCTGGTATTCCCTTCCCTTTCTTTCTTTCTTTTTTTTCTTTAGGAAAGGTCTACAGGGTGTTCAGAGTCTCACTACTAGATAAGACTTGCAGTGATCCACCTGTTTACAGCCTCCCAAGAGCTGGGATTACAGACATGCACCAGCATGCCCAGTCTCAATCGCCATCTCAGCGTGCCCTGGGGATGGAGCCAGCAAGGCAGGTCCAGGATTCCCCCCTT